TCGAAACGATAGGGATTCTATTAAAAACTCAAGCGAACCAAGTTCGAATAGTACAAGCCAACCCGAGAAGGAAAAGCGAAAAGTGGGAGGACACGCATATAGCGGCCTAGAACCTCAACAAGGAAAGAAAACAAACAAACTAGACTATAGTTCTACCTCCACTGCCAATGCCTAGAGATAGAGCTAAGGTCAAACCAAAGGAAATGAAAAAACCAAACAAAAGACAAGATATCCTAGAACAGAAAACCAAAAGACAAGCTAAAGGCCGGAGAACTCTAGCCAGTTGGACAATGCGGCTTTGATCACCATATTCACAGGCATTTGAACTTCTTGAAATAGACTGAGGTTGCGCGTTTTCCAGAGCCACCAGAGGATATATGTTGTCAATTGAATTCGAGCCTCTGATGTTCCAGCCTTGCCAACCGAGCTAATAAACTTCCACCAGCAGCTGAAAGAAGAGTCCACTGTATGATTTGAATCCCATGATACTGGAGAGTATTGCCATACATTCATTGCTCTTGGACAGTGGAAAAGGACATGATTGGCTGTTTCAGCAGCAGCTCCACAAAAGTGGCAGATGACATCTATGTCCATTCCCTTCTTTCTAAGGTTGGTCTTAACCGGCAGTGAGTTAGCTATACATTTCCAGATAAAGATTTTGACTTTATTCTCCACCTTCAACTTCCACAACCTGTGAGTGGCCTTGCATAGTGATTGACCATTGAGGGAGCTGCAACTTGGGATATCTAGCTGATGCAGCTTCTGTTGACAGAGGAAGGAATAAGTGCTAGAGACTGAAAAAGTTCCTTTACTATGCAGCTTCCAGTAAGTTTGGTCAGCTTTGTCAGGTTTCAGAGTATTGATTTTGAGAATGGCATTGCTATCTTCCTCATTGAAAACCTGCTTTACAAGCCAAGTGTTCCATTCCAGCCCTGTAGCAGTGAGCAGCTCTTTGACTTTGATTAAATGGCCTCTGGCAATGTCAATTAATCTAGGTTTTGGCTGTTTGAGAGTAGGTACCCAGTTAATATCCTCCAATCTGGTGTCTTCACCATTTCTGATAGTTATAGCAAAACCCTGAGCAAAAGTGGGGAGAACAGACATCCAGTTGGACCAAAGCCATGAGGAGTTTTGAGTCTTACTGGCTTCAAAGATAGAAGTGTTAGGAAAGTATTTTTGCTTCAAGATCCTGCTAACCAACAGAGATGGCTGAGTAATGATCCTCCATAGCTGTTTACATATTAGAGAAATATTGAAGAGCTGCAGATCAAGGAATCCCAGACCTCCATTATCTTTTGGTAAAGTGAGTTTGTTCCAAGAGGTCCAGTGTATTCCTTTGGAGTTGTCCTCCTTTGTGCTCCACCAGAACTGAGAGCAAATGGAGTTGATAGCTGAGCACAGTGTTTTAGGAATTTTGAAACATGACATAGTGAAGACAGGTAGGGCTTGCAGGACTGTCTTGATGAGCACTGCTTTTCCAGCTTGTGTGAGCAACTTTGATTTCCAGTTAAGAAGCTTAGTAGAGACAGCATCCAGAATGTATTTAAAGGTATCTACCTTAGATCTTCCAATACCTAGTGGGAGGCCCAGGTACTTTGTAGATCTATGAGCTGTAATACCCTGCAGATTGGCACAGATGCTTGCTTTCAAGTGGTCTGGTGTGTTCCTACTAAAGAAGACTGTGGATTTGCTCAGATTAACAGCTTGCCCAGTGAATAGTTTGTATTTCTCCAGGAGACTCAGAAGGGTTTGAGACTGATCAAGGCCTGCTTTACAAAAGAATAAAGAGTCGTCTGCAAATAACAGATGAGAGATAGCAGGCCCTTCTTTAGAAATTTTCAATCCTGTCAGAGATCCATTAGCAGTAGCTTGAGATACCAAAGCAGACAACATTTCAGTGACAATTATAAAGAGATAGGGGGATAATGGATCCCCCTGTCTTATGCCTCTAGAGGGGAGCACATACCCACTGACTGAGCCATTAATCTTAAAAGAGAAGGAACAAGAAGTGATGCACAGCATAATAAGGTTAACAAAGGTCTGATTAAAGCCCATCTGCAGCATAATCTTCTTAATACAGAGCCATTCCACTCTATCAAAGGCTTTGATTAAGTCTAACTTGAGGGCCATAAAAAACTTGTTCCCAGAGTTGTGTCTATTAAGGAAATGAAATGCTTCTTGACCAATAATGACATTGTCCATAAGTTGTCTACCCTTAATGAAGGCTGACTGAGAATCACTAATGCAGATGGGTAAACAAGATTGAAGTCTAAGGGCCAACAGTTTTGAAAGAATTTTATACACTACTGAACAAAGACTAATTGGTCTGTATTGAGAAACATACTCTGGGTTGAGACATTTGGGGATGAGGGTGATTAATGTATGGTTCCAGTATTTAAGAAGAGCCCCTTGATCAGTGAAAAAACTAGAGATAGCAAGAATCAAATCAGGTTTAATAATGTCCCAAAATGATTGGTAGAATTGAGCAGTCATACCATCCTCTCCGGGAGAATTATCAGAGGGAAGGCTGAAGAGAGCTGCCTTAATTTCTTCTTCTGAAACAGGCTCAAGCAGTTTGGAATTCATCTCTGAAGTGATTGAGGAAGGAATGAGATGGAGGATAAATTCAATCCAACAAAAATGTGTGTAAAATATTTCTTGAAAAATCATACACACTTTGAATGAAAGTTTCAATCCAACAATGTTAGTAAATATTTTTTAATAATTTATGCAAACACTTTGAAGTCACTTATCAACATTCTAGTAAACGACTAATACTAAAATTCAAAAAAATTTCTAGAATGTTTTGGAGCTAAATAAAATATTTGTAATTTTTGCTTATTGAACAAATGTGTATTTCAATATTTTGAAAGTGTGAAATTATCAATCTATAACTAATATATATATATATATATATATATATATATATATATATATATATATATATTGAGAAATGATCATATGAGAATGCTAGATAGTGAAAGAAATAAGAATAATTTGTACCATTGGATCCAACATATTAATGGTCATGATGAAGTCAATTTAATAAAGAACGGTCATGATGAAGTCAATTTAATAAAGAATCACTCCTCTTATTTTAGAAGAAAGAGCTAGGATGGGTTTGACAGATCGATGGAAAGTAAAACCCCTTTTATTTTAGAGGGGCCTAACTTTCAGAGCTCAGCCATCGGGGGAGTCAAAAAATTAGTAAAGTTATGTCATTCTTCGCTTTTTAGATTGTTAACTCCGTAGTAAGGAAGCGAAGAGCTGATCTGACCACCAGTGTGATAGAATGCGATTCCGAGTGAGGATAGAAGGTATAGGATGGAACTGAATCGAACCTACGGGGCCTTAGAATGCCAAACCAAAGACGAAGCAGGTTTTCGCAGACCTTTTTTTGTAGTTCTTCCTTAACGTCCTCTCCTTTTAGTCGAGCCTTCTCGTATCGTATTGAATCTATCCCTAGCTACCAAAGAAGAGAGAAACCAGATTCAAATATAAAAAGCAAGAGACCGAAGGTGGAGAAGAAAGGGCTTTTCGATGTTTTAAAGCTGCAAGATTCATGAATTATCCCCCTCCGCTTGCTATTTGGCCTATTCTCCTGAGGATGCACTAAAGTTCTTTCTCGATGACCCTAGCGAGCGACTACGCGAGACTACATCCACATCTCGCCAACTAGCTAGTTCTATTTTGTTGCATATAAGACTCGGGTTGATTTCCGAAAGAGTGCAACGTGAATGTCAGACTGGGCGAATACCTTCCTTTCGATCTACTTCCTAAACTAAAGGAGGATAACGCTGTGGATGATGTCCCAGCTGGATCTATTGTCTTTTGGGCAATTTGAAAAGGTTGGCCCATACATACACAAGGTATTGAATCCACTCACCTGTTATCTATGACCCACGTTCCCAACGAGTCTTCTTCTTCAGCTCCGCCTCTGCCAACCGCCATCTCTGCCCTCCTTTCTCAATACTCCATGGTCTTCGACAAAACCCCAAGGCCTTCCTCCCCCAAGACCCCATGACCACCATATTCATCTCCTTTCTGGTACTAAGCCTATCAACGTCAAACCGTATCGCTACCCTCACACCCAAAAAGATGACATGGCCAAATTGATTTCCGAAATGCTTACTGATGGAGTTATTCAATCTAGTACCAGTCCCTTCTCATCTCCGGTACAACTGGTTCGCAAAAAGATGGTACATGTCGGTTTTGTGTGGATTATGGGGCACTGCTAAAAGCCAATCCCCGCTGAGAATATCGAGAGAATGAGGGATGATCAGACGAGGCTTTAAACAGTCGTTTTGATTCTCGCCTATTAACTAACAAGGCTTGGACTCCTTTTTATAAACCTCTGTACCACAAACAATAAAAGAGAGTTATCTCTTGCGGTTGTTTTTCTCGTTCTATTCGCTTTCACGGGCACGTAGCAAAGGAAAACAAGCCATAGATCGAATGAGCGAGAGGGGGGTGTGCAATGTGTATTGCTCCGAGATTGTCGACAAGATCAGGTCTTTCTTTTATCCTTGGTTTCGCTTTCAAGCAGGAAGGAGAAAGCGAGCTAGAATAGTTCTTTATCTTACGAAAGCTAGCGGTGAAGCGCCTTTTCTAGGCTAGGAATAGAGTAAATCAGTCTATTGATTCCCTTACTTTTTTCTTTCGTTTTCCCCCCTTCGTCGGCCCTTGCCGCAGATCGAGGAGATGGATCGAGTGTTGTTATTGCCCTTTCTTATGCCCGAAAAGTCTTCTTCTTGAGCGATCCATTCTATGAACGCCCTTCCTTCCCTTCTCGAAAACTTTATATCCGGAAAAGAAGGACTTTCTTCAATTCTATCGCTCCTTGATCACAGGTCTGTGAAAATTCCTCGCAGGCTTTAAGCCTTTTGCCAAGGCTCGTTAAGACCTGCTATCACTGTGAATAGACCTCCTGGATCGTTCCTGCAGTCAACCAAAGATAGCATAGTGGAGAAGACAAATGGGCCGAAAATCCAGCGGGGAGGATGGCACTACTGGCAAAAATCGTCTGGCGAAAAGGCCGAAGGCGGGATGAATTAAGACAGGAGATCAAGAGCAAGAAGACACTTTATACTACTTTACTTTCAGGAGCGTCAATCAAGTAAACATTCTATAATCTAAGAATGGGTGGAATGATCTACAAAGGAGCTTGCGGCGGAAGGCTCTGAAAGAGGACTAGCTCGAGTGCAGTTCAAACTTTGCCTCCAGGTTTAGCTTTTCCTTTTCCATAAGAGAGGTAGCCAGTTCGCCATCTAGCTAAGAAGGAGGGAAAGTGCCACCTTTTGATTGAGGAGGGCCGGAGTTCGACCTTTGAATTGAACTTGGCAGATTCACTAATTACTAGAAGGGGGGAGGAAGGACCCCTATTACGAATGGATCAGCAGGAATCTCCTTCCAAGGTCCCCCCCTTTCTTTCCTGGGAAAGAGAATACGAAAGAACTCTTCAAAAATCGATGAAGAATAGACCGAAGATAGCCATATATTGTTTATCCAAAGACAACCGGGTTATGTCTGATTCCTTAATGAATCTGAGATGAGCTTGAGAAAGGCTTTTCCTCTTTTCTTTCTATCAGGGTTCCCGTACAAGAAAACAAGGGACGAGTCTGGGCTATTAACATATAGCGCCTCCTTGCCGATGCGAAAGCTATGATTCCAGCTTGGATATTGATGAAAAACTTGGTGGTCAAAGAGACCATGGCAATATCGTAAATAATTGTATATAAAGTGGTCAATATATAGATTTGTCCACTCAATAAGGGTATTATGGTAATTGCATAATCAACCATTACCCCACGTGGGCTCCCACCAATCACAACAATACCCCCACCTCTCTCACACACAAACACACACTCTTCAGTTTTCACACACATATGCACAGAATACACACACGCACATAACACACACACACACACTCAGATCCGCCGGGGGTGTCGCCCGTCACCGCCTTCCTTCCGCCCACATCGCTGCTGCCTTCCGCCTTTCGGCCGAGTCGCCGTCGCCATCGCCTTTCGCCCGCGTCGCCGTCGACACCGCCTTCTTTCCGCCTTGACGGCCATCGAGAGCAGTTGTAGGCGGCCAAATCCGACACCTACCAACACAACTTCCGCGGCCACGACCAAGCGACGGCCAAAATCGGCCACGACCAAGCGACGGCCAAATCGACCATTAAACCGGCGTTCTCTCCAGCAATACATCTTCCGACGTCAAGGATTGCAATTGGACAGCCAACTCGCTTCATCCACCATCCGAATCAGCTCTTGATCGTCTTTCCAACCCCGCCGTGCCTCCTCCAGCTTCAAGATTGTGGGATTTTTAATCGGGGAAGGATTTGGAGGTAAATCAGGCTTACGTGAAATTAGAGGATAAAATTTGGATTTGGGCTTGCTTTTGAAAATTTGACATGCCTAAAGGACCTAATTGCAATTTTAGAAGTTTTTAATATATTAAAATCTTGTTTATGGATTAATTATGTAATTTATTAAAAATCTAATAATTGCACATTAATGTTCAAAGCATCGCACATTACTGTTCGATATATTGCACACCAACGACAAATATAATGCACAATAGTTTGTGTGTATATACACGTTAAAAATTAAAAAAATTACAATTTTTCTCAACGTGCTGCAGATTGCACAATATTGTTTATCGATTGGTTCGGTTGAACTATCCGTCTGAAACGTTAAAATTGAAATAATTGAGTCGAACTTTGGAAATAGTTGAACTGATCGAATTGTTGTCCCAAACCGAATTAAAATCAAACTTGGTTCATTCACCGGTTAACCAATTTAACCAAAATAACATAAGTAAATTATAATTTATATTGCAAAAATTTATTTTGTATTCTAGTTTGTTTGTTGAATATTTTATATTTATCTATTGCTCAAACTAATTATTATATTTATATATGATTGTAAAAAAAATTAAAGCTGAAACCAAACAAATTTATCATAATTTTAAAAGTGAACGAACCGAAATACAAAATTTTGGACCGATTATTTTATTTAGGTCGACTTCGATCACTATTGTGCAATAGGTCAGTCATTAATGTGCAATTTGTATAACGTTGTTGTGCATGATTTATTCCATCGGTTAATATAATTATCATAAATAGTTAAAATAATTTATTATTCACATTATAATAATAAAACTAGTATTTTATATTCTTATATAATATTTTTATATTATAAAACTAGTACTTTATTATTCTTATATAATGTTTTATATTATTTTTGGAATATATATAAAAATATATATAAAAAAATTATATATGATTCGGTTATTATTATTATTATTATTTTTAACATATAGTTGAATAAAAATATAAAAAATTGAACAAACAATTTTATATCGGCCGGCCCAACTGCTATTGTGTAGTATGACAGTATTACGTGCAATTCGTATAACACTATAGTGCACGGTTTCCAATGATATTGTGCAGTGTAAACTTACTGATATATCTTGTCCCAGACTAAATTGGACCCGAGCCGAACTATATAGTGTATTGGTCGGTTAACCGAATGAATCTAAATAACTGAATAATATAAGTACATTAATATCTAAATTATAAAAATATGTATTTAGTATTTTTAATATTTATATTTAATATTTTATATTTTTGTAGCTGAAAGTAAATAATATTTTACATAAAAATATATATAAAAATTATTTTTATGTAGTTAAACGGTTTGACTATTTTAGTTATGTAAAAAAAATCCCCATATTGAACTGACATAATTGATATTTTTCAAATAAAAATAGATAATTGAGACGAAATATATGATTTGGAAACGAAATTTTTTAGTTCATTCAATTTCGGTCATTATCTGCAATTCGTCTAACATTATGGTGCAACTTGGTGGTCGTTAAAGTGCAATTTGTCTAATACTATTGTGCAATCGCAGTTTATTTATTATTTATTAAATAAAAGTATATTTATCATTTTAATACTTTTTTATAGATCAAAATTTTACATATTAAATTTTTTTTAAACAGTGTACACTCTATTTATCATTAATATGCATTTACGAGATATTCCTATATCCGAAACGAAATCTTTAGTTCATTCAGTTTCGGTCATTATGTGCAATTAGCTTAACACTATGGTGCAATCTGTCAGTCGTTAAAGTACAATTCGTCTAACACTATTGTACAATCGCAATTTATTTATTATTTATTATTATAAAAAGTATATTTATTATTTTAGTATTTTTTATATATTAAAATTTTACATATTAAAATTTTTAAACATTGTACACTTTATTTATCATTAATATACATTTATGAGATATTTCTATAAATTATATATTTTGTCATGAACTAAATTAAAAAAAATATTCAAAATTAATAAAATTATAAAATTGTACCTCAAAACTATCTAATTTTTTTAAAAAAAATCAATGAAACCCGAATCCCAAATTTGAATTTGCAAATTTATTACACATTTATTTAAATTTTTTGAAAAATACACATTAGGCACATGTACCAAATTAAAATATATTCAATCTTCATTTATTTGCAAATTTAGCCCATTGGCTAAAGTGAAATATAAAACAAATATGAAAATTAAAATTTAGACCCTATAAAATATCAAATTCTCAATCACATGTCCCCATCCAAATCAATATACAAAATCAATATCCACTGCCGTGGGAACCACTCGCCGAGAGGAGGATCACCTTGCCGATCAGATCACACCGCCACGACGCTGGCGACCGGAGCTCTGCAACGACTCCGGCGAGTCCCCTGTTGGTCGTGGTCATCGGCGAGTCCCCTGTTGTTCGTGTCGCAGGCGAGAATAGCTCTGCTGGTCGTGGTCCCCGCGGTCGTCAGATCTCGCCATCACCCGAGCAAGAAATCTGATCTCTTCGGCCGTGCACCGCTGCCGTCTGATTCCCCATTTCCGGCGACTGGAATCGTCCAGATCTCTACTACCTCGTCGCTCGTCGAGTTGCCGGACCAGCGCGCCGCGATCGCTACCCGCCAGGGCATGGACCGACTCTGGCTCGGATCTGTCAGGCGACCTCCACCCTTACCTGTCTCCCTCACCTCACCACCGCCGTCGTCGCATTTTCCGGCGGGTTGTCTGCTCCGGTGGTCGGCGACGGGTTTACAACTCCTGAGCATGTCTTTCGTCGCTGGGATTGCTGATGTCTCCGTCGTCACCGTCGAATTCCGGACGTCGGAGTGTGAGTGCAAGAGGTGCCGTGAACTTCGATTTTCCGATCGAGAGCCTGTG